TGAGACAGTTCATGGAGGCTATGAAATTCTGAGCCATCCCAGACATGGTGCTCCTCTGCATGAATGCTGAAATACCATAAAACTTCCACTTTAACTGCCCATCACTATTTTTTCCTCAGTCTTACAACATTCAAGGAGTTCCTTACTCAAACTTATACCACGGACTGTCAGATAACACATGGTGGCAAAAATTAGGAAAAACAAACTATCTTCCCCATGTATATGTCAACTGTTTACTTTTTTTAAACTGAGAGCCAGTGTGGTATAGTGGTTAAGAGTGCAAGACTGGGACTCAGGTGATCTGGGTTCTAGCCCCTGCTTGGCCATGGAGTCAACTGGGTGACTTTGGCCAGTCACAGACTCTCAGCCCAACCTTCCTCACAGGGTTGTTGTTGTGGGGATAAGTTTGAGAGCAGCAAGGGGGAAAGGTGGGGTATAAATCTAATAAACATACATAACAGTATAACAATGTCATAAATAAATATCCCCATTGTTTCCAACAAAAACATGACAAGGCCTTGCACAGAAACAGTCCAGTAAATTCCCTCCTGGGCAAAATTCTATTTTTACATGGAATACTCTACACATGCAAAACTCATTTCAACAACTTGTAACCAGTGTGCACATACTGCTTGACTTTGGGAAACTGCACAATCACATGAAAGGAGACCACACACATAACCGGTAGGCATACAAGAGCTGAAGAACCAGGCCCCCACAGATGGAGCAAGAGGAGTAGATTCTGAGATGGGGGAAACTTGTTACACAATAACAAGTCAAAATGTGACTGAATTCTAGACTGTAAATAGTAGTTACCCAAGGAATCACCCATGGTGAATAAATAAGGAGAAATACATGGGTGTCATAGCTAGCAAAAGTCCTATTAGACTAGTAACTGTAGAGCTAGTTTGGCAAAGCTAGTTCTAGACCAACGGGAATGTGTCAGGGCAAGTCAGCATTTCCTCAGAAGATCATCTAAAGCCCAGCACTGCCCCAAGGAATCTTTGTTCAGTGGATTAAAAGTGTGGAACATCCCTATGTTTGTGTGGAGACTATGAATTCCACTGGTTTAGAATAATAAGTACAGTTATATTCTATTGGAGCTGGTTTCGATTTACTTTCCCAAACACACTGAAGTTTAAGACAACAGCGGAATACTCACACACCTGCAATAAATTTGATATTTGCATGTCCTCAATGATATGGCCTGCTAAGCATGGGCAGGATACTAAAACAGGGCATGTGTCAAGTACCTAAAGGCCTGCAGTGCATAGCCTGAAGAACAATGCATTAGGCAAGCCTACCTCCGAGGATGCCTTCTTCTGTGCACCCCATCACAATTCTTTGGTTGACCCAAGTCATCTTGGCAGCAACTGCTAGGCTGGAAGTAGCCAACACAGTGCCTCCAGACATCCTTGATGCCCAGGATGCCCTAGCTCTCCTGCTATTTTTTAAACATTAATCAATTTCCTTAGCAGAAATCAAAGTGGATTACTGTGAAATGGGCTTCTATTGGTGCAGAAAATTGTGGGTTCAAAGGAGCTGTTCCGTATGCTGGGGCTCAGCCTCTACTTCTGCCTTGCCTTAGGACTTTCAGAAAGATTACTTATCTTTTGTGACTAGCCACCCACACCATGGCCAGGATGGCTTCTGAAATTGCCAAATGCACCCACAGCCCAACAGATTATCCCCCCCGCCCTGGCCCCAATTCTAGGTGTTACATTAAAATGGCAAAAGAACACCAAGCCATTCACTGTGACTGTCCTATAATTTGGAACTCCTTCCTCTGTACAAGTGGCCAGACACAAAGCATTTTTGGGGTTGCACATGCCTTTTATGCAACAATGGAAGTGTCAAGTGAGAATGACCTGCTTGTGTGAAACATCATCCCAGCTCAAGAACCACAAAACAAAGATTTCCAGCCACCCTGAAAAAGCTTCTAGCACAATGCACTCCAAATGAGGTACAGCATATACTCAGCTGCAAATCATCAGGTGACATATGCAGATCCACTCTGAACCTGATTTTTGGTAGCCATGGGCTATCCAGAGGCATAGACACATGCATGCCCATCAACCCCCCCAGTACTGCACATTTCTCCAGTGTTCACGGTTGTTGCCAAATTCCCAGTTACATGCATCTAAGGAAAATGTAACTAGGATCTGGCATACCAACCACCATTAGGATAGGAAGGGGCTGCCAAGCTAGCCAGGCTCATAATTTAATTGAATATATTTAGGTATCTTTCAAATGATAGCTTCCTATTTGAAATTTTCCATCTGGTTATAACCAATTTACTTGCTCCAAGCTTTGGGGTAGTTGGTTTCTTCTTATGAACACAAACTTTAGCAGCTTTCCGAAGCAATTTGCATTCTTGTCCAATCCTTACATTTAAGGTATTTCCTCCCAATGTTCAGGACAAATCTACACAGTGCTGCAATTTAAAACAGCTGCCTGGTCCTTTTCCCCTTCTCTAGCAGTGGAAACTGGTATTTCAAGTTCCTTGTTGCTGTATCTGGCAGAACCATAAGCCAGATTCCAAAAAGTCAAGAATTCTGTTTGACCCATTCAACATCTGGGTTTCACATCATTTCTCTAAAAAAAAAAAAAAAAAAAAAAAGCCTAGGATGGTGATGCTAGTTCTTCCAGGTCTGGCAACCGTCATTTGCCACATTAATATCAGACAATTGTGAATTTCAGTTATTAGGTTGGTCAAACAAACATTTAAGAGAATGCAAAGGATGAAATCCATTCTGCCTTACGGAATGGGCATTCTAGAATGTGTCCCATTGTCCTTTTCAGCACAGAGGGTTACTGTGGCAGACATGCAGAAGTGGACAGTATTTCCTGCAGACAGAAAAGTTACTTCAGAGCCACCCTAACAGCAATCACCTCAAGCCATCTTCCAGAAATATTTTCGTGTGGTGGAATTAAGAAGGGATTTCTTTGTGCTTAGCTGTTCTGATTCATCTGAAATATGCTTCCTTTTCTCACTCCTTTCAAGCCTTGGGTAGTAACAGCATGGGACCACAGCAGCAGAATATATAGGAAGATCTCCTTAAGTCTTTTAAGCATATTCCACAATATACTGTTTCCACTGACCGAACTAAGCAGAACCTTTGCTTCACACAGTTTAGCAGGATGAAGCTAGCTAGTAGGAAAACACACAGCATATCCATCAACAAACAAGAGTAAAAGGGTAAATGTAAATCATGCTTGGCAGTGAGCCACAATGAGAAATGCTATTGGGGTGATCAGTTAAACCTCCTACACAGAATAGTTATGAGACTGCTCCTGCACTGGGGAGGGCTCACAATTCACCAGTTGCACAAGATCCTGAATTCAATTCCCAATATTTGCAATTGGAACCTCAGGATCTTCCCTATCAAAGAATTAGAGACCCAGAAGAGCAGCAGCCACTCAGAAGAAACAATTCTTGGCTAACTGGTAACACAATATGAACCAGTTTTGTATAATCACATAAAGATTAGGGCCTCTTATGGGAGACACTCTTTCCTCTATAACACATATTTGTTCAGTCTCGGCCCATTAACAAAACACAAATCCTTTCCCTCAGTGCAATGGGTATCTCCACATTTTCAGTAAGGAACTTAATATTCCAACATGGAGACCCTCTAGAAATGCAGGACAAGCCTGTATTTGTGAACCTTTGATTACCTTCTAAGATGGTTCTGATCTACACAAACTCTGCTTTAACATCTCCTTCCCATTAAACAATTATCTTTGTTTTCCATATAAAAGCACATTTTCCACAGGCGAAGAACACCCATGACTGGAGTCACAGAGAGGAAGATGCCATTTTAGTTAGCACAGAGGAACCATTAATCTTTTATCCCCAAAGAGGACCTCAGGTGGCGATCTCAACCTGAAAAACTGCTCTTTCACTGCAAGATGGTAATGTATACACACAAGTTCTTGATGCACTCCAGTAGAAATCCTGGCCTTCATTCTTTCCTGCATCACATGCCAAAACCAGACCTGACATTCATTCCACAGGGATTTCCACCCACCTACTCTAAGACAAAGGTTTCTACCATACCTGCTGACTTTAAATGAGGTCTCTTTATTCTCTGCTAAGCAGACAGGGAATAATTATTTCATCTTCCATAAGGAATTATGTATTTTCTTAAAATGAGGTCACAATAACCTTCCTCTGTTGGTCAGACAAACCAGAAAAGAATCCTTTCCTTTACACCCACCCTTTACTACTTCTGTCCTAGCTTTCTGGATGATACCACTCTCCTACAGAGAATAAAATAACTGCAATCACAGGAAGAAGTATTTGCTTCCCTTTGCAATCAGCTGGAGAACTATTCCACAATTCATTAACTGGCAAGGCATTTGGAATTGTTTTCTTATAATACAGGCCCCACAATTTAACAAGCAATCCAATCACACTTCTGCTAAAACAAGTGAATCTTTTTTTCCACAAGAATATCCCAAATTAAACATTATCAGGAAGATGGTTTAACTCTTTACAACTAATAGGCTCTTCAGACTCTGTTCTCATGGGTCCCCCAGTGGGAATTTCTAATAAATGAGCCTACTAAATCCAGCACAAGTGATTTCCCCCAGGAGCCCTAGTCTACTGAAAGCATCAAGTGTTCCCAGACCTTGGGAGCAGCATGCTTGAGTGCCAGTTCATATGACATCCTTAGATATGAGCATGAGTGTTAAGAGTAAAGGCAGGTGTTAGGTGTCCACCGAAATATGTTGAGTGGTAAATACGTGTATGATGCAGGTGAACCCAGTAGGAAGCCCCAACTCGGTAGCCAACCGAAATCTGCCTCGCCTTTCTGACTGAACAGCACCGTTGGCGACAGGGTGATAAGCCACCCTGTTTTATGCCATCCTACAGGCCAAAGGCAGCCAAGACTCCCCCAGGGCGATCACACCCAAACAAGCTTCTGACAGGCCACACGAGTCGCTCCCCCGCGAGCCCGGCCTTCGCCGCCTGTCGCCCCCAAAGTGCGAAGTACCTGCTCTACGGTCGCTGGGTCCATGCTCTCGATGCGGGCCGCCGCCGTCTCGTACTCGTCCTCGCTGTTGTAGCCTGCGCCGGCCTCATCTTGCTCGGGACTGTTGCCGCCCCCTCCGCCGGGCCCTCCTGCCCCCAGCCCCCCGCCAGCGCCCCCCCGCCGCCGCCGCTTACTGTGGCCGGGCCCGGAGCAGCAGCCGCCGCCGACCCCGCCCCGCGCCTCGGCCACGCCGGGGTCCAGCAGGCCAAGGCCGGGGCCGTCGCCACCGGCTCCGACACCAGGATTGGGCGGCGGAGGGGAGCCGGCGGGGGGCAGTCCCCAACGGGGCGGTGGGGGAGGGGGCGAGGCCCGGGGACGAGCCCCGCCACGTCCTGAATGTGGGTCTCCGGGGCCGCCCCCTCCTCCGACGCCTCCGCCGGGGCCCCGTGCGTGGGAGTCAGAGCCAGAGCAGCCTCGCGGGTCTTGGCCCCCAACGCCGCCGGGGCCCACGGGCCCTCCTGGGCCTCCCCCTCGAGAGCCAGGCTGATCCCGGTCTCCGTCCCCTGCTGCTGGACAAGCTTTCTTCTTGGGCAGAATAGTCATGGCAAAAACGCGGGTGGGGAGGGGAGGGGCGGCAGGGAGGGAAAGGAGGCGAAAAAAAGACTCCTGGGGAAGCAGAGGGGGGCAAACACCCGGATTGAGAGGGTATGTAATGGCAGCTACCCAAACGAACACGGACGGGGGGCCTTGGAAAGTAGCCGTATGGGAGGGCTAATGTGGGTCAGGTGAGGGATCGGGGGGAGAAGGAGAGGGAAGGAACAGAAAGATATCCGAGAGGGAGACGAAGCGTAAACACCAGGATAAAGAGGGCCAGGGAGCAAGCGGGTACCCGGATGAAGAGGGCTAAGAAACAGGCAGGTTACCCGGATGAAGAGGGCTAAGGGAGGAAGGGCAACTAGGCGGACGAAAAGCCGAAGGGGACGGCAAACACTCTTTTAGAAAGGGTAAAAGGGGAAAGGCGGAGACAAGTGCCCGGATGACAGGATCAATCACAATATATCGCTTTCCCCACCGCAGCTCAGTGCAGCTCAGCAGGAAGGCGGAAGAGAGCGCATCAATCAATCTCCAGGAGGCGCCCAAGAGGGAAGCAGTTATTCAGAGCAGCCCGGATCCACCAGACCAGCTTCTTCCCTCTCTCCTCTACCGCTTTCGAAGTTTCCTGACAGCAGCGTCCACCACGGCCCGTCTGCGGGCCCGGCCTAGTGTCAACATCAACACAGCCGGCCTCTGACCCCGGCGAGCTCAACTTCCGTTTCCACGCCCCTTAGCAACAAGTTAGGCGGTCCCTATGTAAACCATAGCAACCGGGCCGCTTTCAATGGCCGAGGGGCACGTGACTGCACATTCATTGGTTGAGAGTGACGGAAGTCCTTTGCTGAGTGGCCAATGTCTCTGCCAGTTAAATAGCATCCCGCCTCTTTCCCATTTACCACCTCTCCTTGCTACTAATAGAAGGAGAGAGAGGTGGGAGTGTAATTTTCCTCATTCCGATAGGGCGATGAAAGTAGCTACTGTCTCTTAATTCGCAGACAGATACATCTTTGATTTATGATTGGCTGAGATGGACTGGTTATCTCTGATTGGCTATGAGCATTTCCAAGCGTGGAACTGCATAGGTTGGGATATAAGTTCTTACGGTTGGCTGACTGGCTTCTAGAATTCTTGCTTTCTGATTGGCTGATGCACTCTTCCTAATGTGCGTGTGAAGCAGGTAGTTTTGCTAATTGCTAGCATTTTATGGCTCACTTCAACTGTTCAAACAGTTTTATGTGCTTATCTCAGGAAGCTCTACAAATCTCTGGCAGGTTATTTCCCTTCTTCAGCCTGATGCCCACCAAATGTGTTGGATTACACCTCTTGTAATTCCAGGCTAAGGATTATGGGATTTGTAGTTTGCCCCGTCTCGAAATCGCCAGTTTGAAGAATGCTGATCTAGAGAAATTCTTAGTTTCTTTGGCTACTTTTATTTCTCTCGGGGGGACAGGCCTTTAGAAACAGGTATAAATGTGCCCGGGATGGGAAAAATATCTTCTGTACCTTTATGTGAGCTTATAAAGTACAGCGGGCTGGAAACGGTAAATAAATATCCCCCTATTACATAACTTGATGTAGTATTATTTGTGTTACTTGTTTTAAAGGGGAATCTTTGGAAAAGTGGATTCTTAATGGACTTCACTAAATAGAGCCTGCATGGTTCAAGATAGCAAATCACAGATGAGCAGCTTTCAAAGGAGAGCCAATTTCTTCATGCTTGCTGATCTGCTTCTTGGAGGTATCAGCCCAGCCATTCACAGTACATGGGGAAGGCAGAACCTGAAGCAAAGAATAAGACGGTACCTTTACACATAACAGAAGCTGATCAGACTGGCAGTTGAGCCTTCTTCAGTAATGGCAATAGAAGAGCATCTTGCACTGAGGTCAGGAGACTAGTTAAGGGGTGCAGGATGGCTAAATGGCCACTTTGTGCTGCCCCCCCAGCACAGAGATAGGGAATAGCAGGGGGCTGTCACGGCTGCTCCCCAGCACTGGCTGCCTGAGGTAGTGTGTTCATTGCCTAATAACAAAGCTGGCCCTAAAAGGGTCCTTCCTCCACCACTGAGCCTCTCCCACAACAGGGACACATAGCAGTGGATCTACAGCATAGGATGTAGCCTACAAGAAGAAGAGATGCAATACCCTTACATGTTAATACAGTCAGCATGACCGTTATTTTAGCTGTTGACTCTGTAGTATGTTGAAAGAACCCTACCTTTTATTTCATAGGTGGGCAATGGAAGCCAAACACCTCCAAGCCCACTGCATGATAAAATCTGAACTGGGCTCTCTGGGCTCAAAATTGTGCCATTTATACACTGGGGAAATAGGATATCTTGAGCAGCCCAGCCAAAATCCCTTGCCGAGGGAACTGTGATATATATTTGAGTCAGCTATTTGGGAGTTGCCATTGCTTCAGCTCTGGTCCCAAGACCAGGTCCTGTGCACTGCTATTACTGAGCTGCAGAGAGTCAGAACATTTAAAATATATAGGCAAGGTTTCTAGATCTTTACATTTCCAGAATGGTTAAAGCATTTGTTATACTGATGCATAAAAAAACTCATTTTTTTCACTATAAAAGCTACTTTGGTGTTTCTTTTTTGTAATCGGGCAAATGGTAATATAATGTTCTCTAGTCATGGGCTGATTAATAGCAATCCATTAATTTTATGCAAATATATTTCTGAGTATGAGTGCTATGGTTTGTTATGAATCACCCAATCTTGGGCCTCACGCAAACCATGCTTTGAATACTGTTTTATTTAATGGGGATGTGGAGTGTTTGGGTATCTCACCCAACTGTTAAAGTAATTACTAGTATAATGTTCAAGTGATTTTTAACATGCATGGAAATGATAAAGCAAGGTCTTCTGTAATTCTTACATTTATCCCCAATTGTCCCACTATCAACAATAAAAATAGGATACATGCCTTTTATTTGAGTTCTCATCCAATTTTGTTTATTGGCACAAAACTACAGCAGCGTCCACCTTCTTTAAGCAGCTCTTGTCTCCAACACCTTCTTTCCCAGGGCACCTCAGTGATGATGCCTCCTTAGCCCACTCCTCATCCCTCCAAATACATTTGACATTCATTCTTCTTCCACTTTATGCATACATTCTTCACACAACCTTTTCCAGGTCAGTTTTATTCTCCCTATTTGTACACAAACAGGAACCTGAGTTGAAGTGACTTGACCAAGGTCACACTAATTTGCAGACAGCTTGGGGCCCACAAGCCTTCCTTTCTGGCCCTGCCACTTGTCTCTATTACTGTAGGACATAGCTCCCAGTTTTGTCATGGTGAGGGCCTAAGTCCAGTCTAACGGAAACACAGGAAAGAGCTAGAGCTTTTCTGGACTGTACCATCCCAGATTGCAGATTGTTCGGTTCGCAAATTTAAATACTCTTACAAGAAGCAGGAATGCACTTCTTGCATGCAAAAAAAAAAAAAAAAAAGACAGGGAGAATTCAGTTACCTCTCCTCCCTGGCATACAACCTTATGACATGCAGGGAGGTTCCCCACAACTCCTGGAGGAGTATTCAGACAGACATGAACATCACACTTGCAGCCTGAAGTGATACAGTCCAGGAGAAGTTTTACCACGCATTCTAGAGCAGTATCTCCAGATGAACAAAAATCCTCCTACATGCACAATGGGCCTTTATCCGAGGTAGACTATCTATTGTTGGTTGGCTTGCAAGCAACTGTAACAGAATTTAGAAATGGGCAGTGCAGCAGTAATTGAGTTAAGTTCCTATTGTGGACATTAGATTTCATGCAATACAATATGTGAGTGAATGTCTTCCTGCCTTCCACTCCCTTTTAATAGTGGCCCATTCAAGGGTAATGGAGACAGGTGGGCAATTTGTGGCCCTCCATGTTTTGGCCTACAACTTCCAACAGCCCTAGCCAATAGTGAGAAATCATGGGGTTTGTTGCCTAAATCTTTTGGAGGATTACAAGCTGCCCACCTCTGTATTTGTTACTGACATAGCAAAGTGAAGACAAATAGTTGATTCTCCTCTTCATTTGGCAATGCAGACAAATAGAGTATAAGTACTTTAACAATGGAGTAAACCAAAAACTGTAATTTAAGAGGGTAATATAAACACACTTGCAGAGGCTAGGAGAGTGGAGGACCAGAACCAAAATGCCTGGGTGCTTTGCTGTAGAAGAGTATGGCTGCACTTCTAGGTCTGGGTTGCTGGGGCTTCAGATTTTCAGTGTCTCTCTTTTTATTCATTCCATCACATTGCAAGGATCATGAGATTTATAGGCAAACACTTTTGTAGGGCTGTGAGTCGCCTTTTCCTGATATAGCCCCAATTCTGCCTTTCCTCTAAGAACAGCTTTTCTAGCAGCAGATGTAGCTTCTTTCTCTTACTTTTCAGTTTATCTGAGGCTGCAATCATATACACACTTACCCACAACTAAGTCCCACTAAATACAATAGGACTTACTTCAGAGTAGGCATCTACAGGATTGTGCTGTATGCAATTCCAGGCAGCATCATTTTCATTAGAAAAGGCTGAGATTTTATTTTGCCAGCAAGCTGATGAGAAGATATGATGGCCAGATCTTATGCCTGAAACAGCTGATATAGCTGCCTGGACAACAATGCAGGAGAAGGTGAAGTTTCTCCACCAGCACCTTTTTCTGTATGATAAGGATTTGCAGTGAGAATGGTGAGACTCTGCAAGAAAGGCTCAAAATTACAAATTATGCAACAGCCTGAGACTGGGCTTGTGTTATAGTGAAAAAGTTGGTATGTTGAGGTAATTCATAGTGTGGATAGGTGAAGCCTTTGGTGATGCGGGCATGATAATTTTTTTTTGCCATGTACCCAGCTTGGAAACTGCCTGTTTCTTAGCCAGCACAGAGCTGCCAAAAGAGCCAGTACAGGATAAATCAGCCTTTCACAGGCCCACAAAGATTAGCCATACATATCCGTTGGCTGGATGTGTTCTAAGAAGAGAGGAGGAAACTTGTTAGAGATTTCTGGACTAATCACCTGGCGATTTCAACTTTCCTATGTGAGCAACTACTTAGAAGCATAAATGTGAGAAAATGTAAGTAGTGTGCAGGTGTTTGAGCCAGTTGCAGAAACTGTTTACCACATACTGAACTCTCAGTGAATCCACCGACCTGGTGTATCTTCCAACCATACTGACTTGTTTGTGTACACTGGATCTTTTCAGCCTCCCACAGGCAGTTCCCTGGACCATTACCTGGTTTGCAAGTGCAAAGCCAGGAATTAAGAAAGTTAAAAGGAGGGTGGCCTCTTTAAAGTTTCCAAGACAAGTAGTGGTTTGAGTCAGAGTCAATTCGTCTTCTAAAGCTGAAAGCCAAACAGAACTGCATCAACACAGTATGAGGCACAATTCACCAAGCAATTCCTGTGTTGAATACATCGAAAGAGGCTTGCTGGACTACACCGAAGGCCTAAATTAGCCCTCTCCAACCTGGTGCCCTGCAGATGCATTAAATCACAACTCCCAAGATCCTTTGGCCAAGCATAAAAACAGCTATCTGCTTAGTGTTTATCCTCAGCATCTGTCTAGCACCACTTGTTAGTATAGCCAATACCTTGCTTCTCCTTGAATTTGTCCAGTCCTTTTAAATGGCCACTTAGGCTAGTGGGTCTTGTGGCAGAGAATTCCAGAAGTTAGAGTTAATTAAAAAACCTTTGACTTTCAGCATGCCACAACCAGCCATGCTGTCTAAACATGCATGGGAATGCACTTCAGCCATTGTATGAATAAATATTTTTAGGAAAAGGTAGAATCATGCTGTTCTTCATTCTCCATATCTTTCATAATGCTTAACCTTCTTATTACACTGCTTCTTCCCCTCAGCAGCAGTTCTATACCCATAACACAGAGATTACACCCCAACCAAATCCAGTGTAACTTACCTGAGTACAGACTACAGGATCTTACTCTGAATTATCCTTTTTCCCTAACTGAAACAAAAAGTTCAACACTCGTCAACCTTTTATATATATGAAAGCCCAACTCCCACCATCCCTAACCAATGGCTAGGCTGTGTTTGAATGATGGGAGTTGCAGTCCAACATATTGGGAAAGCACCAGGTGGGAGAAAACTCATATAAAGAGCAAAGGCAAACCATCCACCTCCACTTTTGGTCACTTTCTCAGCAATGGTCATGATTCTGTACATTTCTTATCAGCTCAGCAGGCCGTGTGTGTGTGTGTGTGTGTTGCCCTTTGCCTCAGTTAGCAAACATCTTGGGCCAGCCCTGTAGACTCGCTGAAATGAATGAAGCAAGTTACTCATGGCTAACTTATGAACCATTCATTTAAATGGGTCTACTCTAATTAGGACTAACACTAGATTCAACCCATTACTTTTCACCTGTTCAGTTTCTCAGAGATTTCAGACAAGAAAATGTTGTGGTCAGCCTTGATGTATGGGGAGCCACATTGCGGGCCATCCTACACTGGAAAATGCAAAATCAGGAATGGCAACCACACCTCCTTCCTTGGCTAATCTGGGTGCACACAGCAATGGGGTGCATGGAGTGAAATCCTTGCATGTCACATGGCAACAACTTGCACTTTCTTGAGGCAGCTTACTTCAGGAGAATCCTGAAAACACACCCATAACACACACCAAGTCCAGGGATGCTACCCTTTCCCTTGTCAGATGTTATATGTCCTGGACAAATTGGGCAGAATCCACCAGGAGTTGAGCTTTCCAACATGAAGATGTAGCTACTAGTGATGTTACAAAACTTCACCTGTTGAATTTCTGGCAGTTAAACTTAGCAGACCTTTGTCAGAGAGAGGCAGCAGTCCTATATAGGGCAGAGCCCAAAAAATCCTGGTGCACAATGTATTCCATTGAGCAGTTTGGGAGAGAGACTGGGAAAAGAAGAAGCCCCCCCCCCCTTTCCCCCCCAAAACCTACTTTTATCTTGGTTACCTCAGCTTTTTTTGTAAAAAAAAAAAAAAAAGTGCCGGGAACTCACCTCGCAGGCAGTAAGCGCGCGACCACACACACACACCAATCCCCCAATCCCAAGCCAAGCAAGGAGCAGCATCCTCACTATCTCACTAGCAGATAGCAGACACAAAAGCAGCCTGCAGGCGCTATGTTAATGATGTTTGCTGCTGATCTGCTACATAAAATCCATTGGAAAAAAAGGTGTGGGAACGCTGTTCCAGTGCGTTCTATGACAAAAAAAGCCCTGGTTACCCTAAATCAGGGGGGCAGATCCTCTTTCAGCCCAAGAACCAAATTCATTTCTGAAAACCTCAAGGGAGGAGGCAGACATATCCCAGTCAAGAGCAGAACTCAAGGCAAACAGTGTGGGGACAAAAATGTCAGTATATTTTAGCTTAATGCTCTTACTCCCAGTAACTTAGCCTTATGCAAAGCATGTCAACCATTCTGAGGGGAGGGAAAGCTGCACTAAAGCCAGGAATCCACCCTGTGATTGGGGTGGGTGTGGGGAGGGGAGAGGAGAGGAGAGGAAACAGTACATGACTTTCTGGAAAAGCTTGGAAGGTGATTAGGACCACCAGAGGGCTGGATTTGGGCCCAGGACTGAGATTTTACACCTATGTCATAAACAGAATCAGACAATTTGCCCTTTGCATATACTGAAACCTGATAATATTGCTTTGTTTTATAAGGTTCTCACTCTTGTTAGCTCTTGATGGGCTTTGTGGAAGTTAGATTTTGGGCTGTTGCTTTTAATACTACACTTGGAGAATAGAGTGGCATTCAGGAGACTGAAAATAGTTACTCTATTTTCTACCCCCTAGAATGATCTGCATTGTCTTTTTCCAGCAACCCATTTGTGTGGCAGCAAAAGTATCAATAAACTATGGGCAGATCCTCCTGGAAAATTTTCACATCAACCTAGTGAAGGTCAACAGTAAATGCCACAGTATTTAGGGACCCATTCAGGGTAGTTCCAGAAGAAAAACAACACCAAACAGCCCAAATGAATCCATCCTCAGTTTGCCTCTTCACAGAAAGAATCTACCCAGAGAAGGTATTTCTTTCCCTGTTCTGGGACTGGAACCAAGCTAGACTAGCAGCCTATGCAAATTTACTTGGAAATATGTTCCACTCTGTTCAGCAGGGCTTGTTCTCAGTCATTGCTTGGGTACTCATATAGCACTGATTTCATGGAGGCCTTGGGATAGAAAGCTTTCTTTTTTTTCTTTTTATGGTGGGCAAGTCGTGAGCGGAGCCGGCGGGTGCCGGAGGTCAGACGAGATGGCCCGGGAGGCCCCTTCTGACTCGCTCCGTTTCTATGTTTCTAATGGAATGTTCTAATGGATGGACTTGATTTAGGTTCTATTTCCTCTCTGCACCTCACTGCCTTTAAGGTAGCCCTTAGGAGGCATTTTCACCACCTTTGGTACCACACATTCATCCATCCTTCATGACTTTGTTCAAAGTGCAATAACATTAATTGATCTACACTAAAGTGAACTGAAGTTATTTGCTGGCATTTCATTAACCATCCAGCAGATGGATTTGTTGCTTTAGTTGTTATAAGGAAAGCTCTAACTGCATCCTTGGTGAGAATGTCCCAGATACTGTGTTTCATGTGTTTAATCTTGTCCAAGGATATGAGAGTTCAGCATCCACTTAGATCTGACTCGCCATTTTTTTGCCCGAATGGTGGACTGAACCTAGGGATACGGTTCCATGCATCACATTCCATTCTTACTCACTAGGCTGCTGCTGCCACTGCTGCTGAAAACCCTCCCAGGTCTCTCTCTTAACCCATTAGACAAGCCCTGCTCAACCTGGTGCCTTCCAGGCAACTCGGATTGCAACTTGCAGAAGACTTTGCTAGGCCATCCTTCTCTCTATGTGCTAACTTAATTCACTGGCTACCCTAACTCTACAAACAGACCCTGCTTACCCTCCACTCATCAACAGGACAGAGAATCCAAGACACTTAGCAAAAGAAGGAAGACCAAGAAGGACAGCAGATCAGCAAAAAGGCCATTCCTGTTGAGAGAAGAATCTTTTCCTGGACGCTGAGAGCTGGCCAATTTGATGCATGCTACAGGACTTGTGGTTTGCCTGATACCTAGAACGGTATCCATCATCCCACCAATGTTTCTTGTCTGCTTTCTGCCATGTTCATGGTTCTTCTCCAGTTACAATGAATGGTGTAAGGTTAGCATCCAGAGTCAATTTCTCCATTTGTAGTAACATTTGGAAAAATGTCCGGAGGAGGACTGCACAGACCACCTCCCTGCTCTGCAGGTTTGGTTCAGTTCTTCACAGCATATCTTCAGTCAGGGTAGGTGGGAATGGGGACACAGCTACGCATGCATCTGATGCGCTGCAGCCGTGGACTTGGGATCCCACTCTTGGAGGTATAATACACATGCACAGTCTTGATGCCACGCAGTAGGGTGCAGGTGCGTGTGGTGGTGGCAGGGAGAGTGATGCATGAGGTTCCCATGAGGTGTAGTGTTCTGGCACAATAAACTTTTGTTTTTTAAAGTGCAGATTCCAAGAGATGAAATAGGAATGTGGGAAAAGAGAAAGGAAGAAGGAGAGAGAGAGCACTAATTGGCTTTTCCCATCCCAGCTATGTCATGGCTCAGCCAAGAGACCCAGAGGACAGAAAAACATCTTGGAAGTTTAGTGGATTCTGTTTCTTTTCCTACCTTCTCACTGTCCCACAGGCTATCTTGACTCTGGAGTCCCCTTGCTGTAATCACTAAGCAGTACTTCCTTTACAGTGCTGGGGGTGGATGGGAATCCAAGGTGGGAATGGAGTCACTGCTTCTCAGAGCCCTCCTTTCATCTTGTAAATTCATCTATGGCACATCAGCCACTCCTAGCCACAAGAATGTAAGAGTCTTGTAATCCCACTATTCAACCCCTCTTCCACAGCCATGGGAAGAAACCCAAAGTCCTTGCTCCCTACCTCCATTTCTCCAGTGTTCCAAACCCTGTTTCAGGGTAGGAGGGCAAAATGCAGGGATCTTAGCTCACCCTATGCCCTTGCCCTGTTGCTCAGGGTGAATGGGTTTGGTATAGTGAAAGAGCCTTCAGGATATGTTCCCCATGACCACAGAGGTCCACCTATTGTGTCCTATTTTCCTTGCATCACTCTGCCCCTCTGCAGTTGCATAGCATCTGGGATCCACCCCTCCTATATGGCTTCGATTGCAGGGCAGGTGTGTGTGAGCAAGAGCTGGGCCGGCTTCCAAAGCCCTTGTGCTCCAGCGCCCCTGTTGGCAGCCTCCAATATCACCTCTACGAAAAGAACTGTGACACCGCCCTTCCCTGATGATTTCCAGTTGCAGCTAAAGGGGGGGGGGCTAGTGCAGAGGAGACAGCCCCCAGCACATAAACAGGGATCTGGGGGCGGGGGGGCAGCCGAGACTCTGGGCAGAGAAAGGAGGACACCACCCTAGCCTCCTCTTACAAGGAGGAGATCTTGACAGTCTCGTGGAGTACGTATGGAGTGGAGAGGCTGGAATTGCGTAGGGGTCCACCAGGGCCTCCAGGCGAGGGGGGCTGGCTCTCATCCGGTGTGTTGGCAGGAGGGGTGGGGATGCAGATGATGGCCGCCGTAAAGTCTGTGGTGTCACAGTTCAGCTTCAAGTTGTCGTGAGTCTTGGCATTCAGGTTGGAGCGGCTAGAAAGGGGCAAGACATAGGAAGCCGATTAGAAAAGTCACTTGGGCTTCTTAGCTTAGTTCTACCCACTTCCCTCAAGGTTGCAGCCAATTTTGGACCCAGAGCTTTTTCTACATGAAGCAGTTTATCGCTGTATCTACTTTCAGTTTAATCACAGCCCCTGAGCTCTGTCCTTTCATGCTTTTCAGTCTAAAACCTCTCAGTAGTGCTGTGCTATAACTAAATACCATAATTATGCATGTAGGAAAATATCCTTTCTTTTGCTTTCTGAGAGATGACCCCATTTTCTCTGCTCTGGAAAAACAATCCAGGAAAAGTGCTCTGAAAAAGCAGACATGAAACTGGATGATCACACCATTGCCTAAAGAACCCCTTAAACAATCATGAGTAAAGAATCACAAGCACCTAATAAATGCACTATGTACAACAGGTCCTTGTCCAGGACCAAAAAAGCTCCATAGTCCTGGATGAGTAATTTGAAAAGGGTGACTTTATACAAGATTTATACAAAGTATAAATACAAAGTATAAATCTTGCTCCACAAGCTGACCCTCAGCCACTCTTCACATAACTGAAATTGAAAGGCACAAAAATCAGAGCACTTCCCAGGAGGTTTGAAACCCAGAACATCTTTTGTTTGGAAATGAATAACTCTCATTCTCATTCTTGGTTCCCTGAGCCATCTCTATGGCCCACGTGGTCAGTTCTAGCACTGTTCCCTGCCCATCAGCAAAACTTTAGTGCATTTAGCAGCATCTATTTAGTGGTAAGTATAGGCTACATTTCACAGGTGTAGTCCAAAAGCCAAGTTTTTTTGAGTGCCAGTTTGTTTTGTTTCCCATCATTAGTATCATGCCACAAGAAATGATGTCTTTGGAGAACATGGTCTTGCACACAGGTGGAAAACCTCCGGCCTAGGAGGTGAACATGGCCTGCTGGGGTCCTAAGGCCACACCTTCCCATGATGCCCTTTTCCCAGTCACTGATTGTTTGGGGTTTTCCCAGCATTTAGGCAGTTCCCCCCCCCCCCCCACCATTCTAGAAGGCTAAAACTAAGGCTTAGTTATGGGCAGTAAGAGCTGGAAGTTACAATATGCTGATTTTTTTGTTTGCATGTTTGGCCTTGACCCTTTTGCATCTGGCTGCATCCACTACTGGAATGCAGCCCCCAAGAGCTCCTCCAAAATTGAACTTGGCCCTCAGGCTGAAAAAGGCCACCTATCCCTGGTCTTGAGTAAGGATCATTACGAGTTCCCGAGGCCAACATAGCAATGGAAATGAGTATATGTAGGCAGATAACATCTCGACAGGTCACTTTAGGGAGTAGAAGTCACTCCAGGTTTGAAGGGGGCCCTTGTCAAACTGTCATCAGTCAGACTGTCATTTTTGTTGGTGGCCTTCAGGCCATAGGTTTGCCTTGCAGCCACTGCAAACAACTAAGAACAGCTAGTTCAAATTTCCCAGAATGCCCCAAAATGTCGTTGCACTGGCTACTCCAGAGCATTCTGAGAGATTTATAATGGTGGCTTGTTGCTGCCTGCCACCTGCCGTGTGTTTCTATCAGGAGGGCAGGTAACAGTTCTGGTGGGAACTACCTGCTTGCCAGGTGCTTATGCCAGGCACTCCTGCTCCCCTTCTCAGCATGGCACTTCAGGAAAAATCACTGGTGTCCACATGCAGAGACTGAACATGGAAACATATGGACAGCCAGGACCAGCAAGATGCTCCCAGAACTGCAGTTGGACATGATGAATATGATTGTTGCAGTTTTAAAATGATTTCCAGTAATGCATTTCAATATGCTTATTGTATTGCTGTAGCTGCAGTTGTTCTTACTGTTGTATTTAAATACAATCTTAATATTGATATGTGACCACCTGGATATTCTTAATATTAAGTGATAAATATTATTAATTAATTAATAATAGACAGACTTCATAGTTGGCAATGCAAATATGCCCTAAGACTGATTACAAGTGACTATGCTCAGTCAGTACATTCAAATAGCAAGGGATGCCCAGGCCATTCTTAGGCAAGACTAGAGCTGGGGAATGAGAGACTTTGAGCAGCCCTGAGTGCCATTCCCTCATCACCCCTATAACCAGGTCCTGGATAGCTAAGGTTGGCAGAAAGTGCTTCTGAGTCAAAGAATGTGGCTTCCAGCAGTGACTGAGCCTCTGTACCAAACACTCCTTGCTCCTTGACATCAGTGGTGTTCAGGGGATGGAAGGTAACAAGCTGAACTGCAATCGATTCTCTCCTTCCGTTTGCTGCTGGTGTACCTTGTCACCAAAGAATACAAAAGCAGGCACTGAGCTACAGTGAAGCCAATGCAGTATTGCTACCAGGGCCTGTCAAGGGCGGCCTGGTTTGGCATCTGCCAAGGGGCCACACATCAGTGGGGGTCCATTGCCAAGAGCCCCCTAGACTTGCCCCTCTCTTCACCATTGCAGCTGCTTGTTCACCTGCTTTTTGTTCTGGTCTGAATGACAACAGCATGAGGACCAGTGGTAAATACCTCTGCCTGTCAAGCAAGCAGTTGGATGAGAAAGAGGACAAGCAGCAAGAACAGCTGGTGGCAAAAGCAGTGACTTGAGGCAGGTGTCTCGCCCAAGAGCTTTCAAGAAATCAGCGCTGGCACCCGTTGCTTCGATAAAGATGTGACTAAGGACCATCCATCTTTGTGGTGCTGCTGCAGCTCTCATCCCAGCAGGTGGCAGCGATTCCATGCTTCTAAAAGGGCACTCAGAAAAAACATGCTTTGGAGAAATAACCAAGGTGCGAAACAGTTTAATTCAGTGGCACCATACACCTGCAGCCTAAAATTGGCTTATTATTTTTCCAAGACATTCAATTCAGCCCTGCTGCCTTCCTGAATCTCTGATTCTTCTGACTCTTCTGCACAGGTAGGTCCATCCCTGTGACCTAAGAGGATTCAGATTAATTTCCCCCCATCACCTCTGTCCCTTTCCCTCTCCCTCCAAGAACCAGTGTAGTATAGTGGTTGGAGGTGTTGGACTGGGATCCAGAAGATCCAAGTTCTAGTCTCCACTCAGCCACAAAACTTATTGAGTGACTTTGGGCCAATCTCTAATTCTTAACCTAAGCTACCTCCCAGGATTGTTTTGAGGGTAAGATTGAGAGGAGGATTACATAATCTGCCTTGAGTTCCTTGAAGGAAAAAAAAGGCGTGACAAAAATAAAATAAAATACATATCCTCCTTCCAGTTTCTGGCCAAAAGGCTCACCTTCATTCAGCCAACCTGTTCCCTTTCTTTTCATCTTGTCAGCCCTCCATTTTCTGTCCTTCCTGCACCTCTTTGTCTCTCATATGCAGACACAAAGCTGAATGCTGTCCTTCTATCCAGGGACACTAAACAGATGCAGGCCTCTGCTTTCTCACTTCCTTTGCAAGGGTCACAGCCTTTCCCCATCATTGTATGACTGTTCCTTCCTCCATAGCAGCTAGGATCAACATCCTTCAGAGCCACTCAATCAATTAGTTTGGGGGAGGGCAGTGGAGAGCTTGTAACAGCCAACCTGTAGCCAATTATGTTGTTCTCATTCTGCTGGAGGGCTCTACATTAGTGGCACAAACTGATCAGAGAGCTATAATGGACTCAGAGGTCACTGGTCCAAACCACAGAACTCTGACTAAAATATCCCCAGCGTGTGCTTCTCCTGACTCTCCAGCAGGCTGCATCCATTCTTGCAGCTAGGAAACACATCCAGATTCCCATGCCGTGCTGGCTTTTGCAACTGATTCTGACCCTTCCCTAAGGGACACCAAATATGCAGCCAATCATTGGCCTCTTTGCTGATATATCTTTCAGAGATATGAAGCAGCTTCCAGGATTTTCCCCAGCCTTCTTTTCTCTGAGCTTTGTCTTAGCTTTCAGCTTTCCCTCCACATCCCTCAACACCCCACCTGCCAGTATATCATCCATTCGAAAGCTTCTGCGGTCTCAGTTCCAGTTTGCATCATCCTTGAAGTGTGGGCACATGTTTAAATCTACAAGATGGGGTGCTTATTAAGCCCCACCCCATCCTCCAGCATGTTTATATCCAAACTAGTCTGCTTTTGTCAACACCACAATCCAAAATAGCATTTGCCTTATTTCCATTGCAACTGTGCTGACTCACTGCATTCACAGTCCAGTGTAAGTCTTGCATCTTTCTGTGGTCTTCAACATTGGAGATGGGACTTCCCAAGGGAAAGCTGTTTAGCAAACTATAATGCAGCGGGCTGTTTTGTTTGTCATACCCACTCTAATAACTGGTGTGCCTGTGTAGGAAAATTACAGTCACTGGGAGTTATTAGATGCAACTGTAGTGCAGTTAGACTGTCAGATGTGAACTAGAGAGACCCACATTAAAATCAACTCCAACATGGAGCTCCGTAAGTACCAGGTACCTTTGGGCCAGTCTCTATCTCTTATACTAACTTACCTCACAGGGGACCTCATGAGAGAGGAAGAATTATGTACTCCTCTGAGGACAGAAGAGGCTATAAATGAAATAGATAAATAACTCCACGTGTTATAATGGAAAGAATTAAAAGCGGTGAGGCTTTCTTTTCTTAGAAATGTGCAATAATTGCAACCAGATCTTTGGAATACTGTTAACCTTTGCCCTGTTGGTATACTGAAAGGGTGGGGTATCTCATAATTTGTCTGGCTAGAGATATTCCCCCACCCTGTAAAAGCCCATTTACAAAGGAGTAGGTCCTACTAAAAACATAGGCAGATACATCAACATGCATTTATTTAAACATGCCTTGTTTCAGTATTTTGCAAGAGGTTATAAGGCTATTTGAATATGTTGGTGGGGGCATTAAGCCTCAATATAAAAATTCATAGGAGCTTATTGCAGATCTCTTCACATGACTTAAACAAGCCCACTGCTGTAATTCAGTCCTCCTAGAATTCCAGTTTGGCCCTCTAGAGCAGTGGTTTTCAACCTTTCCACAGCTGGGGACCGGCAAAAACAGGAAAACCACCTTGGGGACTGCTGAGGCAGAAACAAAAAGCACCATACACATAACACAGTATTCTGTGTATTAGTTTCCAAACACAATGCCAAAAAAAGAAAGAAAGAAAAAAGAAAGAAAATTCTCCAAAACAACCAGAAACTGAGCAAAAAATGCCAACAAAAGAACAAAATACCAACATCGGCATGGCATATCTCCCACCAAGCTGTCTCTCTCCTCTCTGCCCCCGCAGCAGCCCTGGTGTCCCCTCCCCCCCAATGAATGCAATGCCAACCAAGGAAGAGGGGATGGAGCACAGCCAGCCCCTGTGCCAGCCCACAGTGAGTGGGATGCAGCCAGCAGGAAATCTCCTGTGGACTGGTGCCAGTCTGCAGACTGGAGGTTGAAAACCACTGCTGTAGAGTGCAGTGCATAAGGCCACAGATAATCTGGTGATTTACTAGCTTTTGTGTAGTTTCCCTGGCCCCAGCACATTCTGAAAGGTTGAAATATCTCGCTTAATGCAGTTACTGGTAGTAAGAGCTTTAAGCTAAAATATGCTGGCATTTTGGCTTTACCCCTTTGCTTTTGGCACCACTCCTTTGTCTTTAGTCCTGCCTGACCGCTGGAATGCAGCCCCTGGGAGCTCCCCCGAAATGGTGTTTGGCCCTCAGGCTGAAAGCAGTGAAACACTCCTGCTGGAGGGGAAGGCCCTAAACCTCCAAGCTGTAGGAAGTTGTAGGGTCTGGGCTTCATTTGGCAGCAAAACCCTTTAGGCTTCAGGAGCCACCTGCACCACTGCTCCAACAATGGTAGGCACAAAGTGTACAGCCTGTTCCTCAGTATTGAGCTCCACACCCACCAGTGTTTCACAGATGAAAATAGGGACCTTTCTTACATACTCATATACAGCTCCATCCCCACAAGCCAGGCTCCCAGGACCTCTGCAGGACATCCTGGATGGCTCTTCTCTGCCTACTGCATGTTCCCATTGATTTTGCAATCATCTGGCCTCTACTACACAACTCAAACAAATTCTGTAAGTCAACTAACCATAAATTTCCTTCTTTGAAATTCCGCCTAAGCATGTTTAATAGATCTAGCTGTCCTCATAGCTTAGTTGCACTGTAAGTACAACGAGACCCATTCTGCAATTAAACATATCCGGCAACTGGCTAAGTGATTATGAAAGAGAGAGAAGGGATGGGAAGAGAAGGGAGAGGAAGCAGTGAACTGGTATCCGATGTCTGACTGCACTTAGAATCATCAACACCATCATCGCTGTTGCTTCTGCTCAGTTTTAAGGCAAGGTAGATTTAACTTGATACTATATGATTGTGTTGTGGCAGTGGTTATCTAGTCAATTGCTGTGCACCATATCAGTGAGGGCAATTCTGCCCTGAATGTTGATATATAAGTCACAGAAATATACTGACAAAGGTGTCCACTACCCTTTAGTTGGTGCAGCAGTTGGGTCTTACTACTATCTCATGGCTTGCCTTACCACAAAGAGAGAGAGAGAGGTGGGGAGAGAGAATGGTCAGTTCCAAATGTTTTTAGGCTCAAGAATTTCCAGTTTTGAGAAGGTAAAAGTCTAGGCTACCATCATTTGGTGGCACTAAGCAGATAAAGAAGTGTCAAAATCTCTGATGCACTTGTGCACACAAAATGCTCAAAGGCAGCCTTAATTTTTCCTCCACCTGCCAAAAAGGCAAATTCAGACAAATAGGGGACAAGGTTTTACCAGAGTGCAGTACTAAAAAAAGAATTGCCCTTGGTAAATGGGAAAATCTTGGGCCATGGGTTGAGGTGGGCCCCATTAGACAAAACCTGATAAGAGCCAAAGGCTGAGGTAACCCAGAAATCTGGAAGAGATAAGGGCAGGGCTTTCTGGGAAGTGGGGATGGAGTAGGCCTAAGCAGGGAGTTGCCACCAGCAAGGCCCACTGCTCCAGCACAGGCACAAACAAAAGTGTGAGCAGCCTCTGAAAAGAACCACATTCCCATGGCAGGAAACCCGCTAAAACATAGCTGGAGTGGCCCACGCCATCCAGAGCAATTCCTTTTTTGCTGCCCAAGGATTAAGGATTCACTTTCTTCTCTTTCCTTTTCTCAGTAGCAGGACAGCCCTGAACTGTGGATGGTGCTTGAGTCGAGGCTCGACTGAGCTGCACTTCCCTCCTCTGACCAGTGGCCTCTGTAAGGTAGCCTTCTCCAAGCTGGGAAGTGATGTTCCAAGACATCCGGGGGCTGGAGTAAGGACTTGGTACCTGACCCACAAGATTCCTAGTTTGCCCAACACAGTATCTGGCAGGAGCTTAGGAGGAGAAAACCTTTTGGGCCCATGCTCACACATCCCCAAAAAGTGCCTTACATTTTTCCATCTTGCCCTGAATAAAAATGTATTCTCTGTTCATGCAATGGTTCCAGAAAAGCTATTCTAGAATTTGACACCTCTGTAGTCTAAATGACAATAATTTTAATATCTAACCTGAATAGGCTAATGTCCAGGTTGTAGTGGCTGGTTCTTGGGACATAGCCTTCTTTCATGCACATTTTCCCCCCTCTCTTTTGTAACAGCCCTGGACAAAATGTATGTTCTTCCATGGGAAGGGAAACTGATCCCCCTCCAGACCAGCCGGATACAAAAGGAGGCAGAAAGAGCCCTTACCTTTGGGGTGCAGCACTTTTCTGACTGTGTAGTGTATCCAGCTCCTGAGCACTGGCACGGCTCATGGACATTGTGGAGTTGGTTAGGCGGGTGGTGCGGCGCTTCGTGCGGCGGGGGCAGCATGAGGTGCTGAGCCCCCCCTTGCTTCCTTGTTGAGAGGAGAGGGAGGTGCTGCGGCTGGTGCGGTAGCCCAGGGGCTCGGTGAGGCAGAACTCGCTGTAGGAGTGTTCATCAGTAAACTCATGGTTCTGCATGTGGGGCAAACATGCAATGGAGGCAGGGGAAGAGAAGTAAAACTGTATTAGGGCATTTGCATGCATATGCCCACTCTTACAGCCCGCTGCCACCACTGTTGTTCCCCAACTATTGCCTGTTTCTTGGTTCTCAGCTTTTGTGCAGGTTTTTCCCCCATTTTGAAAGGCTGCAATGCCTCTCCTGAGGCTTCATTAAGGGCAATCCCTCCCCCTTTAAGGTTCGAGAAGCTGGTATTTTGGCCTGGTTTGCCCTGCTCCACTGGCTTTTGGCACCATCCACCAGTGGAATGTGGCCCTTGCAAACTCTGAAATGGAATTTGGCCTCCAACTGACAGAGGCTCGGCTCCCCTGCTATGCACATTCATGATATAATGGGGGTGTCACATATTCTGTGTGCCTACAACTGCACACACAAGAACAAGGCGCTGCAAATCTGGTGCAGAATTCACTAATCCAAGAAAATCCACTTAAATTCTTCTAGGCAAGGCAGGTAAGGGTTCTAGTCTTTAGGGCTGTCAATTCTCTTGAAGTCATATAGACAGTGCTTGGGGAAGTCTATTAACATGGAGGAAAGGTGTTCAGAAGCTGCAGTGATTGAGAGGTGGGACTTAAGAACATAAGGAGAGCCCTTCTAGACCAAAGGCCTCTAGATCAAACCCTTCTAGATAGAAGCCTTCCTGATCTACCAGCCAGAAGGCCCATCATCCCCCAGTCATGATTCCCGGCAACGGGTTATCAGAGAGATACTAATGTCCAATACTCAAGGTGAAATGAATAGCCAACATTTCTATTAGTAATTAGCAGTTGTCATTCTCCATGAGTTTGTCATTTTAAAGCCTTCCACATGACTATCTTGGGCAGTAAATTCCACAGCTTAACTATATGCAATGAGAAGAACATCTTCTGTCTGATCTGACTCTAAAGGGAACCAAGGTTCCAGTTAGATGCCAGGAAGCACTTCCTGACAGTCAGGACCCCGAGGGTATGGAATGGGCTTCCCTGGGAGGTCGTTGAGGCCCCATCGGTGCGGGTGTTCAAAGATAGGCTGGACATGCACATGGTTGGCACGTCGTGAGTGGAGCCAGCTGGAGCCAGGGGTCAGACTAGATGGCCCGGGAGGTTCCTTCTGACTCGCTCTGTTTCTATGTTTCACCATTTGGCTGGATTCTAGTATTTTTTTTTTCAGTTTAAAAAGTCCAACCTTTCCTCATAGACAAGTTGCTGTAGCCCCTTTATAATTTTGGTTGCCCTTTTCTGCATGTTTTCCAGCTCCCTTTTTTGCAGTGTGATGACCAGAACTGTACAAAGTATCCCAAGTGTAGTCACACCACACTTTTGTGTAACAACATCCTAGTATCGGCAATTGTATGTTCCCGTTCCTTTCTTGTTGACTTAACAACATGAAATTTGCCTTTTTCATACTGGGCTGACAATGCTGATCAAGGATTGCATTTTTTCTTTTTCTGGTGTCGTTTGGTTGTTTTGTATTGCACAATAAAAAATAAATACTAAAAAAACTGGATTAGCCTTTATTGTGAGCTCTCCACCACAGCCACCCCTGCAAAAACCCCTTGTCAACCACTGCCAGCTCAGACCCAATCAGTTTACATACAAAATTAGATTTTTTTTTTTTTTTTGCCTCAGTATATATCATGGTGTACTTGTTTACCTTGAACTGCATTCTGCATTTTAATTCCTATTTACCCACTTTGGAGAAATCACTTTGGTGCTCTTTGCTGTTCTTTTTTTTTTTTTAGAGACTGGAGGCTCCAGTGTCAGCAGAGCTCGTCATCTGCTCCAGATTTCACTTAAACCTTTCCAGGGTGCTGAAGCAAAATTGGCTTGGGGTTCAGCATCATGGATTATGCCTTTTAAGTTCAGAATAAAATTCAGAGTAGATAAGGAACCCCATTGTCATTGGAGCCACTAGCCTCCAACACCCCTAAATAATTTGGTGTCATTAGCAAATTTGAACATGTTACTGCTCAGCCTTAACTCCAGATGCTTTATCCTTAACCTGAGCAGATAGCATTATACAAAACAGGCAAGTGTCTTTGTTTGTATAATTCATTCAGTTTGCAGAATCTAGCTTCTACTGGCTCTGAATTTGTGTGATCCTAGTGCAACATTTGCATTTTATCTTTTAAATGAAGAGTTGTATTCAGTCCTGATGGTGTCCTTTGGATGCTTGAGGCTTGCAGGGAAAAGCCAGCAGTGCCTGATGGAGTCAAATCAAGACAGGTAAAGTCTGGTCAAAGTATGCAGTCAAGTCAGGGCAGACAAGGTTAGATCAAGTAGGAAAAACTCAGCTGAGGTGGATAAACTTAGGTCATGGTAAGCAACGTCAAGACAATGAAAATGTCCAATAAAAACAGGATCTTTGACAGCTGCAGGTGAGGCCTGCTACCTGAAGTTCTCCTACAAAGATAACTATGGAAGGATGTTGGCTTACTAGGGAGCAAAAACCAACTGAACACTTAGGTGGGCTGACAAGAACAGTAGTGTGATTAGCTCTACCCCCCCCCCCCCGCATCCCACTGAGCTTCTAACTGGAGTTGTAGTTCAACACATCTGAAAGTCCATATATGCCCTCCCACCCCCTACGATCGGCAGCTGATGCCCTTCTCTGGGAGCCCTCCATGAATGATATTAGGAGGGTGAGTACCCAGAGGAGGGCCTTCTCTGCGGTGGCGCCCCACCTATGGAATGCGCTCCCCAGAGAGGTCCGCCTGGCGCTGTCATTATTTGCTTTTCGGTGCCAGCCGAAGACCTTTTTATTTAAAAGTTATTTTAACTGTTAATTTATTATTATTGTATTTATAGATTTTAATATATATAGCCGAGATGGTACCAGTTTTTAAATTATTAATTGTATCTTTTTATGAATGTTGTGAGCCGCCCCGAGGCTTAGTTGCGATGAGGGTGGCATAGAAATGTTTTAAATAAATAAATAAATAAATAAATAAATAAATAAAGGCACCTGGTTGAAAAAGAATGATCCAGGTAATACTGGATGGGAAATGGATCCACTGCTCCCTTCCCCCCACCTGATGGCCAGAACCTGCTCCACTCATTTTTCATGAGTCTCTCTCGTGTCTTCCTACTCACAGTTGTTTTCTCCAGGCAGTGCAACAGGTGATGGTGTTGCTGTTCAAAGGCTGATCGGTTCCGCACAGCCAAAATGTGTGCATCAGGATCTCTGTCCTGTGAAAGAAAGAAGATGGGTACAGATAGATCAAAGTAGACAGGACAGAGACTCAGAATTTCTACAACTGCATGCTCTAGTTTGAAAACCAGTGTGCTTAGGCATCAGAGCAGGCACAAGTTTGAAAATCTGCAGCATTATGGCATATCAACACACTCAAAATAACCTGTCAGCACAGCATTACTTCTGATCGCTGCTGGGCAACTGCGTGTCTGAATGCTTTCCCACTGAAAAGATATTCTCTGCATAAGGAAAACTAGCACATCAGGGCTAGGGCTGGCACTGGGGGTGGGGGTGGGGCTGGGAAACTACCAAATGACAGGCAGACAGTCAAGGGTCAGGGAAAAGGGCCATCTGGGAAACAGAAGGGCCATCTGAGGTTGCCCACCCTTGAATTAAAGGCATCCCAGGCCACAGGGACCATCTGGGTGTCCAGAAGCAATGCTAAATCCAGCAGTAGCCCCAAGCTGTGAACCTTGGAGGGGAGTAGGACTCTGTTCAAAGCAGGTGTTTCTTCAGCCACCCAGTTCAACTCATATTATCTGTCCTGAGCTTCAGTTTAGTTGCTCTCATCCAGTCCATTAATGAGTGTGGTCTTGCATTAAAGGTCCTCACCTGGATTTTATAAAGGGAAATAGAAAGGAATCCTTTCTACATACAGATGTAACTAAATTCCATAAGCCCTGGCAAGCTTTCTGAATGGTTTCATAGAGATACTGGACTGTATGGGAGATAAGTCTAAATCCCGAGGAATGGTTCCAACGGAAAGGAAAATCAGTCTCCCAGCACCACTTTCTGGAATCTATCACCCAGGAAGGTGCCATCACAAAGCAGTGTCTTGAGCCTCTAAAAACCAGGCCAGGGCTGGGAACTTGTGGCCATTCATCACTTGCAATACCCAATCTCATTCCAAAAGGTCTGTAGGTGATCAGTTCAGGCCTCTGATAAGAGTGATCTGCTCCCCCAGATAACTGGGCAGTAACAAGGAGACAGAGAAGGGGTTCCAACCTGGTTCCTAAAATCAACTGGAGGGGCCTTTTGAGACTGTCTCCTTCAGAGGTGCATTTGGTGGGAAGCTGAGAGGGGGCCCGAAGGAGGCCTGGTGGCTAGGGAGCTGTTTTTAATAATATTTTTCTGCAATTGATACATTTTAATTGCATTTTAGTATATTATTTCAACCAACCTCCTTGGTTCTGGAAGCCACCTTGGGTATCATTTGTTGGTGGAATGGTGGAGTATAAAAGAAACAAATAATTGGGGGTGCAGAAAGACATAGAGGGAGAAGAGGAGCAGAAGGACAGAGAGAACAGGGCTGCTAGTGGAACAGACAGAAAATGAAAGGATGGCACCAAGACTGAGAGAGAGAGAGAAAGAGAAGAGTTGGCCCAGCTCAGTTTGAATTTGGTCATGCCTATGGGTGATTTTGGCCCCAGCCATCAACATCATGCAGCCCATAACATTGTATCCCTGTGGCAAAGACAATGTACTTGTCAACAGAACAACAGATTCCTCAGCCCTGCTCTAGTCACTTGAAAAGGAGCTAAGGCTTGGGTCTAGCCAGGGCAGGGGGGACTGTGACCCATCAGATGTTGATGAACTACTTCTCCCATCATCCCTCATCATTGACCAGGGTGATCAAGGCTGACAGGAATTAAAGTCCAGCAACTTCTGGAGGACCACAAGCTCCAGGCTAGTCTCTGCTGTCTGCTGCAACAGGTTGCAGTTTGCAGACATGTAGGCCTGGGAAGAAAGGAAATGGGGGAGATTTCATTTCATGTTTATACCCTGCTATTCCTTTCCAAGGATAAACCAACACAGCAAAGCAGTCCATACACTTTGCTCCCAAGGGAGTGCAGGAAGACTTGTGGGCCAAGGGAATAGTGCATACCTCAAGGCCACCGTTCTGCTTGTACCGAAGAAAGGCGTTGGTAGTGCCACTCTTGGCCAGGCGGATCCGGGCCAGGCGAACTTTCTGCAGGTTGGGGGAGATATGGAGAATCATATATGGAAAGAAAGCCAGATGACCCCCCTCCCTCCCTACACCTCTGACCTACTACCTTTTCTCCTCTGCCCACCCCTCCACTTCCCCCACTCACAGCTACCTGCTGAGCTCGCCGCTTATCCGCCCGCTGGTTCTGGTGGTAGATACGGCTGAAGTTGGAAACGATGACGGGCACAGGGAGAGCGATGACCAGCACCCCACTTAGAGAACAGATGGAGCCAAAGATCTTCCCTGCAATGGTGCTTGGGACCATGTCACCGTAGCTGGAAGGATACAGCAGTTACTGCAGTCCTGCGTGTCTTCCCATGCCTTGAACCCTCTCATGATCACTCATACAGCATGCGGTTGACCCCGTCAGTCCCATAGCATGTGGAGCTGCGCACCTTCCCCGGCAGGACTGTGGCAGTAAATATTGTAGTGCAGGCCCTCATTGTGCCAGCCCCCACAACAGTGCCCCTGAGAAGAGGCCAAAATAGCAGGCAGCAGTGCTGGTCCTTATCAACAAGCCGGTTTGAACCATTTTCCTCTCCCCCATAGCACATCTGTTGTAAAGCCAGTGAGTCAGTTATCTATTTAATGCCAGGCCACTCCAAATTATACAGTATTGTCAAGAAAATACATCCCACCCCACCTAGCTACTGTGAAGGTTGCAGAAAGCTCACAGGAAATTCTGAGAGGGGTGGCAGATGAGGGAAATGTCTTTGCAAATCAAAAAGCATGTGTCTCTGAGAGCCCTGGCTGCACTTTTCCCATCTTCCTCCAACAACTTTACATGGAGGTTGGAAGAGGATTGGCTGAGTAGGTAATGGAAGGGGGATGAGTTGGCATCAGCCCTTCCAGATTGCTTGATGGCTGTCTATGGAGATGGGGCATCTTCTCGCCTCTTCTCAGCATTAAGCAAATGGTAGCATTAATAGGCTGTAATAATTGATATATTTATTCACTGTTAACAATTAAATACTACCATATCTGCTAAAAAGCCATTATGGGGCATACAACAATTTGAAACAAATTATTGGAACTATGAAAAACAAAGTAGAAAACAAAACGGGAAAACTGCATTTTTTAAAAATTCACCTTTATATGTGGCAGTACTGATGTATGTCAGTAATGGTGAGATGTGATTCCACCCCCCCCCACCCCGCCCTGTATCCCCTTGCTGGCTCTCTCCTTATACCTTGAACAGCTGCTTGATACAAAGAATGAAGCAAGTGATGATTTCCGGATCTCTTTTATTTCCATGCTGTGAAAATCTTTACCTGCATAGCAGGCTGCCATTAAAGACACAGGGGGAAAATCAATAATAAGTGATGGCAACTTATCAGATAGTTTGTATTTTGTGTGTTTCCTAAGGATTGCATAAGCATGGAATTGTTCATTTAACCCATAGCTGAGCTTGCTTGCTCTCTTCTCTGGGTGGACAGACAGGCTTTTAACTGTATGAGGAATGCCTAGTGAAGAAAGGTGAGAATTCAGAGTGCTCCCTGTGGCTTCCCATCTCTCACTAGAGCTTCTGGGATAGAATGGACACAAGCATTTGCAAACCAGATTTGTATAATCTATTCAGGTCACAGAACCTGACCAGTCTTGCTTTGGTGAGGAATTTTGATTTTGTTTCAAAGGGCAGAGTATAGGTAGCCAGCCCTCAGTCCTGCACTGGGGAAAATGGATTGAACTGGATGACCTCCAGATTCTTTCTAGAATCACCAGTTTTTCAATCAGCCACTGGAACAGGGTCCAACAGAAGCTTGATCTGCATTAACAGGTGTCAATGTTCATCCCTATGCTAAGAAAAGCTTCACTTTTGATTCTGCACATGATGCTGCTGTTAACCATACTAGAAAAGGGTGGCAGGAAGGGTTATTTTCACTCCTGACATATCCTTGTTCTTTCCAGTATCTATGAATCCACACAGATTTTATTAGAATTTCCATGTCTTTAGGCAGGGGAAGGAACTGAGTTCCTTACATCCAACTTTGGATAGACAGCATTCTAACTCAGGGTGGGCAGAAAGTAGATCTCCAGATGTTTTAAAATTCAATTTCAGCATGCCTGATGGCTGGCTATTGCTGGTAGGAGCTTCTAGAAGGTGAAGTCCAAAACATCTGGGGATCTACCTTCTACCTGTCCCTGTTCTAAATAACAATAGGACCTTATCAGAGGCAACGTGCCTACCTGAAGCAAGTCATACTGATTCCAAATGTGGAGTCTCCAGTGTGGTGGCCATGTGCACCAATGTATCTGCAGACACTTCTTTTATTCCCACTAGGTTCTCTGTCTCTCCTGACTTTTTGGATAAATTAAAGTGTAATTTAATTAATTTCTTTGAAAATGGGAGGCTAGCAGTATCTTTTATTTCTGTCGTTATCATGTGGGTCCCAGAGCCATGCTTAAAAAAATAAAAATCAAGTGCCACTGCAGCTCACACATCATCTTACTGGTAAGACCAGAAAGGTAAGTGGCGGGAGGGCAATGCAGTGTGCTTTGCCTGGGTTGTTTGTGTTGTCAGACCCACTTCTACTATATATATTTTCAAATTTGTTATTACATTTCTATCCTTCCTTTCTCCCTCTTGCAAGGAACCCATGGTTACCATATTACCTCTGTTAGGACCAAGTGATCTTCACAGTAAACATTTGTGAGATTTTATATTAAAATTTCTGGAAAATCTAGCCTAAAGAGGATCACTATGTCATTAAAAAAACCAAAACCTGCTTTGTGAACTTTGTCCTAATAAGGATATTATTTTACTAACTCTATGAATTTTCCCCAGTGCCTGCTTCCCTCCCACACCCACTCTGAAAAAGAACAAAGAAGGAATCAAATCCTGAGCTGAGTGTATGAAAATAGCAATTAATTTTTATTTGAAGATTGCTCAACTCATTTTGAAAATCCTATCCCTCAAGGACAAAGGGTCTTTGTGTATCTAAGTCTGGTACATCAGTTAAAGCACTTCACTCGGGGCATATTCTGTGGTGTACCAGACTAAAGCTATTGGACTCCGAGGAAGATAATTTTTGTAACATGTCAAACAAACTTCAAATTGTAATTGCAAAATCAGGCTCCAGGTTGCAGCTTTGCCATTTCCTGTATCTGTTCCCCTGCTCCAGCTTGGATTTTAGATGCTGCTGCCACCACTCTTTCTCTCTTGCCTGCCCATTAAAGGCATCAAAGGCAGGCATGACTGAGTGCCTGCCAAAGACTCACACCCCAAGAGGGGCCCACTGACAAGACCCTGCTGGACTAGCTCCTTCTCCTGGAGAAGGAGGCTGTCAAGGACTTCTAGCCTTAATGGTTCAATGCTACTTCCAGTAGCAGAGGTAGTATGGCTTTGTGCACCAGTTGCGGGGGAACTCAGGCAGGAGGGGGTTGCTGCACTCGTGTCCTGTGTGTGGGATCCTGTGGGCATCTGGCTGGCCACTGTGTGAAAATAAGATTGTAGATGAGTCCTTGGTGGGAAGAGCAGCGCTCTTTGTGTGGCCTTATTTCTGATGCTATTTCACCTGCCTGTCGTTCTGGCCCAGGCAATGGTAGTGGCGAGCAGGAGGCCTTACACCCAACTTTCTGCCTGTGAAACAGGCAAGTGGTAGCAAAGATGAGGAAGAGGGTGATGAGCCATAGCAGCTGGTGCCAAAGTGGTGAGAGGGGAGGCTCCCTGAGGAGGGATCCTGTGGAGGAGTGTCTTGCCCAAGGGCATTCCAAAACTTGGAGCTGTCTGTGGGACAGAGAGACCCCACACACACGGAAGGAAGGAAGGAAGGAAGGAAGGAAGGAAGGAAGGAAGGAAGGAAGGAAGAGTCCTTGGCAGTGTGAGTTCATTAGAGGACAGAGTTCTTGGCCAAATGACACTGCCTCCTAAACACAAGGTTGTCTCCCTAAAACATCTTCTGAAGTTGTCATTACTGGCATACAGTTGAGTTAGCTGCAGGCAACAAGTAGACTGTCTTATGGGCCGGGGATCTAAAGCTCCTGCTGGAGAACAGCAGATTCCAGGAATTATAGCCTTAATAACTCCTTGGTTCTCTCTGACGGACGGACTCGTGGGAGATCATTAATGGGAGCAATGCTGGGCAAGAGAATAGGGGAAGCAGGTAATTGAATATTAAGGCTGGAAGGAAGAAATGAATGAACAAAAGAAAGAGTAAGTTAGTGAATGAATGAATGAATGAATGAATGAATGAATACACATATACATTTTTTTTAGCGCCAAAGGATTGAAGCCTTTGAATTGTGGTGCTGGAGGAGACTCCTGCGAGTCCCTTGCACCGCAAGATGATCAAACCGTTCAGTCCTAGAGGAGATCAACCCTGACTGCTCTTTAGAAGGCCAGATACTGAAGATGAAACTCAAATACTTTGGCCACCTAATGAGAAGGGAGGACTCCCTGGAGAAGAGCCTAATGCTGGGAACAATAGATGGCAAAAGAAGAAGGGGACGGCAGAGGATGAGGTGGCTAGATGGAGTCACTGAAGCAGTCAGTGTAAGCTTAAGTGGACTCTGGGGGATGGTGGAGGACAGGAAGGCCTGGAGAAATGTGGTCCATGGGGTCGCGATGGGTTGGACACGACTTTGTGACTAACAACAACAACAAAATTAGACTTGCTGAGAGCAATGGGACTTAAATTGATCATAATCATTTAATATCATTAATTTCAATGCATCTATTCTAAGTATGACTAAAGTTGGATCCAACCCAAGATATTTTACACCAGAGTACAAACTACAAACAAATCACATGTTCCTCAGGCATGAGGAGTAGGTACACTGTTTCAAATGTTGCACACTGACTTAGTGGGTCAGAGGAAAGGTCCCAGCTTTGGTGCACAGATTTATTTATTTAGATTATGCACATTTTTCCTGAAAGATACACTGCCTCTGAACATAGAAGTCCCATTTAGCTCAATATCAAGGTTAATAGCAGTTGAAAGATACGGTCTATCTGTTCAATTCTTTTACAAAGGCCATCCTTACTGCTTTTTCCTCTTTCAAAATACACTTGTGGGGGTGGCCATGAATGTCCAAACATCTATTTGAAGGCCTACCAGAGGACTGTCCTCTATTTTGGAGGTCTTCAATCAAAGTCCATTTTAAAGACAACCACCTGAAAGAAGGGTTGGTCCCTGAAGTGACCCATCAACAGCTCCAAGACTGAGCAATGAACCATACCCCTACTGAAATAGAAATAATAATTATCTCTAAATATTTCTATAAATTAGCACATGCACATTTTATGTAGATAGATACCCTCTTTTGTTGTAGATCA